GAAGAGTGTGTGCAGTTATAAAGACTTTGATGTCAAGGGAGAGTGGGGAGAAAACAAATACTCTGATTTTGATGTACTTAGCATTGAAGAAATCAAATTTCCAAAAGCCATGGCTTATCCCTTATCAGCCAGGCCAAGTTTGATCCTTCTGGGTGGTCATAGCAACTGAAGCCTGGAGCACCCTCTGGCTAAGCCTTCACTTACAACTTCCAAAACACTTATTTATCTAGCAATCTTGCTAGGCCTTCTCTGAAAAGAGAAGTTTATAGAAATGGCATCTTCCCTGTTTATAGAAATGGCATCTTCCCACTTTTAATGCAGAAATACATATTTAGATCCTTTCCATGTCAGATTTCATCACTTTTTTGACTAGCAGGTACACAACCACTAAGCATAAACTACATGTCCTGTAGCCTCTCCAGCTCAATATAAATGTCAGTCCTGTGTAGAACAGAAGAAAATAAATTACGTGTGGTGCTTACGTGATATGCCTGATTAAGAGACACAGTATCCTTAAATGCACATCATACTGCATTCTGTGTGGCTTGGTTTCCTAAACTGACCACGAATTCCCCCTTTGTCTGGGCCAAATATACTTGGGAAACTACCAAGTTGCTAGTGCTGTAGTGAAGCTTGCTCAGTGGCTGACTGAGCACTTATAAATCTGTTTGGGATTCCATCCTGATTACTGCATGCAAATGCTCTTACACCGTTTTGTCTAGGACAAAGATTGGAGGGACCACACAGACACAATGATCTGTGCCTTTCACTTAATTGTTGTTTGTGGTGAAGGGAAAACAGCCAGATAGGATGTCGCTAGATGGAGAACAACACACTCAGCTTAGTCATGGCCTTAAGATGCTTAGATTGCTGACTGACTAACTCCACGTGAGGCTCACAGGACACATCCAACGTCTATTGCAGTAAACCTCCACAGAATAGTCCTGGATCTTAGCTACTAGTAATAATAATTTTTCTTAAAAGTAAGGAAAATAACCAAGGCCTGTTCAGCATTCTATAGAGGACATTTTAAAGTGCTTCCTGTAGATCAGATAGCTTCAAAGGAAAGAGGGCATTTGCTGATGAAGGTACGGTTGTGGAGTATAGTAAGGGAAGTTGGAGAAGGGAAAACCAAGTACCTCAAGTAAAAATGGTGTCCAATTCCTCAAGAAATAAACTGGAAAAGTGTAACAGAGTAATAGCAGGGTTGGCTCTGGAAGGAAGTTGAGGTGCAGGAGGAGTGCATTTAAAGAAGATCAGATGGAATTTTTAGTTCGATAGTCAGCATGGGTGATGGTAGGTTTAAGATAGCAGGAGGAGGAAAATAAGAGTGATACACAACAGCATCTGGTTTAGTTACACATTTTGTCATAATCCAAAACAGAAATACTCCTGGGTGCAAGAATAACACTCAGAACAACAGTGGAAACCTATCAGGTAATAATTTGTGTTTATGTATGGGAGGAAAGTCAACAGTTCTGGAATAACAGAGAAAATTATTAGACTGTGCTATTTACTCCATCTGTAACTTCTGATCTGTAAAAACCTTGTGATAGAGCACAGGTAGAAATAGACATACCTCTAACAAAGGTATTTGTTTCCTTGACTCCTCAGCTGTAAACAGTAAATGTCTTATCAGAATATTTAGGGATCTTTGTACTTTCTTAAACACCTTACTTGCAATAGTAGTTATTTTTGTTAAACCAGAAACTGGATTTTAATGGAGGAACAAGAAATATTTCATAGCACTTGACCAGAGGTTTCCATATGTTCCTACTGTATCAAGTAAGAAAACAAGCATCTCTCAGCAACAGTGATCTAAGGATCATGTCTTCTGACACTACTTTCTTCTTTATATTTAAAACCATTGTGGCTTCAGATAAACTTCAGATAAAACCTTCAAAGCTCAATGCAAGAAGGACATTTTATTGTTATTATTGACTGGCTGTCAATGAAATCATTCGAAGAAGTACAGGACATTTTTTCTGTTACTAATCCCATTCTTGATCTACATTATTGTTTTGGCTAAAATATTATCTAATAGTGTACATGACCATGTTCTTGACTCTTCCTTATTGTTCTGCTTATATCTCACAAACATTGCTGCTGTGAAGGACAGGATTCTAGCATAACATATAGATGTTACTTGAAAGAAAACATATATATTTCAATGCATCTGATGAAGCAAACGTTAAGCATACAGAATTCCAGTAACTGTAAGTCAGGGAATAGACAACTGTACCATGGATATGATTCTTAAAAGCTGCAGCTTTATTTTACTAAATTATCTATGTTAAAAACAAATCTGTGCCTGATGTGGAATTTCACTGCAAGTGTTACAGTATTTTTGTTTTCATTACAAGCAGGAGAATGCATGTAGAACAAGTGTTAAGAAACATGACAATAAATTAGAATATAATTTACAAAAGCAAAAATAATAATAATAAAGTAACAGTGTACCACATTAATACTGAGTATAAAATAATAAGCAACTAATCACAATAATACAAAGGTAATTTCAGTCTGTATTATTAAGGATATCTATGTGACATTCACTCCATTACAAAGTCCCTAATGAAATGAACTATTTTTGAGTGTATACACCTTGAGGGGCTAATCTCTAGATTTTTCTTTCTGTTCTGATCTTCTTCAGCTGATAGTATTGCTCAGTGAAAGGCCTGGCACCAGATTGTTTTCAGCATTTCATATTCTATTTGATTCTAGGCCTGTCATAATTATATCCTATATAAATAGTCCTTTTGTCACTATTTAGGAATAGAACACTATTTAGCTTAGATTATATAGACAGCTACAGTGTAGCAGCAGCAATGAACTGTGCTGTGGAAACCAATTATTTTTCTTTGAATTAGGTTTCATTTTTCAGTCTCATTCTGAAGCATTGCTTAGTTTGTAGATCAACATACATTCTGAGTTTTGTTCCCTTTAACAATAAAATTCAATGTGGTTCCAGGGAGTTCTTCAAATTCCAACCTCAGTGCTGTTATGTTGCAGAGTAAACATCGGACTCCCTAGTGTTCTAGCACCAGTAAGAGAGCAAAATGTGTCTTTGGAAACATTCCTTACAATTTTAATGTCCTAAGTGAGGTAAAAAAAAAAAAGGCTTCTTCTGAATACAGAAAAACTTTTTCTTGTGAGCTGAAAAGACACATTAACTGATAAACAAAATCATGCCCTGGAGAAAAGTGGATGCAGATACAAAGAGGCCTCTTACTTAGGGAATGCCATAGCAACCCCTTTCCCTTTCACCATATTTTTGACCTGGCCAGGGCATGCTAGCACCAAGGTGTTTTGTCAAAGGACATAGAAAGTCAATTCACTCAACAGAGAAGGCTTACATACTGCCCTAAATCTCCACAAGCAACTCCCAAAGGTGGAGGTTCTTTATCTGCTGGTACCAGTTTTAGCAGGGGTTGTTTACACGGTGATGAGAGCAGTAGATAAGCATATATGAATACAGGCAAGCCAACCAAAAATTAATTCCACTGGTCACAAGTGTAGGAAGTGGAAATACTGGCAAGAGGTAGCAGATGACAGGAATTTGATGGACATGGAACACACGGGCAACACAAAACTCCATGGATAGACTGTCAGTATGTTGGGGGGAATTTCATAGTATGAGTCCTCTTAACAATATCTATTCTTCCATGTTAATTCACATTATTACATAGCATGCGACACAGTTGGCTTGTTATTGGTGAAATACACTGGTACATTTCAAACTCATGATATTTTGAAAGCGTTTTTCACTGAAAAGAGTACCTTTTATAAAAAGCGCTGTTTGAGTTAGAATTTGATACATTGTACTGTTCATATAATTTTAATTGCACTACAACAAAGGACGCATAGTTGGACAAAAAAGCACATTCATCAAATACCTGCTGCAAAATGCAAGTGTTCAAGTACAATATGTGTTAATATAAACAAGTACCTATGTTCATTATCTCCTTGACTCCATTAAGGTAAAGTGAAGGGGAAGAGGAGCATGACAAGTAACTTTTTTTTTTATGGTAGATTCCTGAATGCGATTTAACTTAGTCTAGTTTCACATTTAAAAAAGCAAAGTATCTGATGAATATTAAAATATGTTAATATGAAATAAGTGGAGTACGGCAGCAGAACCATTATGGCATCTAGCTGCTAATCCAGAGGCTTGAGTTTGTTCCAGGCTCATGCTGATAAGCTGGACTGTATTTAAAGCTAGGGCCAGAACCTACCTGCCCACTAAGGTGAAGGTGGCCAGAATTCATTCTAGCCACCCCTTTTCCAGTGTGCCTTACTCCTGATAGTCCAACAGGCCTCCTGGCTCAAGCACACTTCTGACTTATCATTTAAACAGAACCTAGATACCTCCATGAGTCATTTATTCTTTGGTTTTAATCCTTGCCCACTTTTATGTGGTCTCCTGAATTGCACATTCACATATTCTTTCTCATAAACAAATGCCTTTCTGCTATGGTATCAAAGAAGGGAACATCTGGAATCCATTTAAACTTTCAGCTTTGCAAAGGATTGTTGCTATTACACAGTAGGCTTATCTGTTGCACTGGAATTCCTTAGTTTTGGAGAATCTAAAGTAACATGTAAACCTGATCTAAATCCCCATAAAATCGTTTCTTCTTTGTGTCTGGTGTTGTAAACAAAAGTGAGCTGAAGTCAAAGGGTAAGTTCTAAGCAACCTGTATGGTAGTAGTGAAGGAGCTGGCAATACAGTCTTCACTGCTGTTGGGAGTCTGCCTCCTCCATGGCATTGAAGTAGTTCTTGTACAATGGTATGATGGCTATAAACCTCCAACACAGCTTTAATTTTGCTTCATAGCACACTTGTATTTCATGCACCACTGCAATAACTGTTGCACCTCTTTAAATCCCTCATGGTTGTCCTATTTAGTACAGCTTTATGTATGACTCACAGCAGTGTTCAGGAAATAGAGAATACTCCAAAGAGAGCTGGGTGGAATGAAGGAAAAAATACATTTTTAAAAATTTCTGCTCCTTAAATAACAATTCCAAGCTCATTTTATAATTTAAACTGTGGTGCTGTGTTGTGAGATAAAATAGTTAACTATTTTAAGCTATGACTTAACTTTTTTTTGTTTGTTTCCTCTTTACTTCCATAGTAGACCAAGTCATAACAGCTACATTTTAAACAGTTTTAAATACAAATGGATTCAGTGTCATTGCTAAGTCCATAATAAAAATTATTTTAATGCTCCAAGGAGGTAAACAGACTATTGGATTTAGTCAAAAGAACATGTATGTTCCACAGTAAGCTATTCTTTGTGTGTTGTGTGGATCTTTCCAATTTGGCATGCCCTCCTTATATTGTGTCCAGCACTTTGGATTAATAAAACCCACTTCACAGAAGTTAAAATAATATTGCAATCCTGTCAGCTGGGGCTGACCAGTGGTTACGTTTTCCACAGGGTAATGCATTTGCAAAGACGTCAATCTCATTCCGCTGTGTGGCTCTCTTTGACAGACACTCTTCCACAATGATAATAACAAGGCACATTCTTGTGCTTTCTGTGGGTCAGTGTCCCTGGCAGGTCTTGCAGCACATCTGTCTGAAGTATGCTCGACTGCAGAACTTGAACTTCAGCACCAGTGGGCAATATGCCACTTTGTTCACATCTTTGCACTCTAATAATTAAGAGCATTGAAGAGAAAAAAATCAGAAATGAAAATTAAAGTACAAAAAAAATTTAACATTTAACATGCTGCTTCTCTATCCATCCACCTTGCCCTCTTTGTAACTACTCTTTTTAGTCCAGCCTCGTGCACACAATATATTTTTAAACGTCATACAAATCTTTTCGAGGCTTCTCTCCCAGACAGTTAGAAGAGTGCCCACTTTGTCTTGGAAGAATTATCATTTATTGGGATAAACTTTACACATCTAGGACATATGAGTAGGTTCTCAAACAATACTTTAATAACTTCTTTCTCAAGAGTTTTTTTAATTCATTCATGACAGTTCATCTAAAATCTAACACAATTCCCACTACTTGGTACCATGCCGCTGCCTTTGCAAGAATCCTTGAAATAGAACGTTCATTGCAGCTAAGAGGGATGAAGAGAATGATCAGTGTTACGAATAAAACCACCAACAGTGTGAGCTCATCAGCTGGACTGAATGGCGGATTATATTTGAGGCTTGGTTCCACACATCCACCATGTTTTTTATGTAGGAGGAAAAACCATTTCAATGCCATTTTTATTTTAATAGACATGCAAGGCCTTTTTTTTTGTAGCTGTGTTTTCCCAGTATGCCAGGCTTATTGGCTCAGCAGACCTTGTCGTACTGGCAGGTAACTCTCCTAGGCAGTGAGTACAGAGCTCAACCATGTGGAGGAAGGGCTTCTTTTCCACTCTGCACAGGTTGTACCTAAAGTGACTCGTAGGGGTATATTACAGGAGCCGATGGAAATACGCTGTGGTTCTTCTTTGGCTCAGCTTCCTTTCTGTAGAAAGAAGCTGAGAATAGGGAACAGAAAAGTTTGGTCCATGCCCAATTCTTATTCTGGTATAGCTGGTGATAAAGCTGTATGTGAGTGCTCAGTGGTACACTCAGGTACTACAGTTCAGAGGTTGCTGATGATGATTTCCTTTGCACTAGAGTGAATATTGTGATATGACACCTGACAGGGGATTTTTAATTAAAAGCATTTGCATTGCTCCTTCTAGATGGATATTAAAAGAGGAGCTTTTCTTCCCATGTAGGAAGATGGAAGAGAAGTTTATGGAGAAATAAACCCCACAAGTCTGAATTACAAAAATTAAGTGATGAGAAGAATGAAATTAGACTCATTTCTCAGAAAATTATTTGTCTCAAAAGAATGCTTCAAGTTTTTAGTCATTTAAGGTTGCATTCGATACTGGCTTCCTCCTACAATCTTTTTCAAATTAAAACAGCTATACAGAAAATGTGAATAAAAAGGAGATGAACTAGTAGCACTTTGACCATTATCGTATTTTGCATTGATTTGCCATTTAGAAGTGAAGACTGGAGGTCTGGATGCAGTTGCTCCAAGGCCTAACAGAACAACAGTCCTTGACTCCAGCATTCTGTAAGCCAAATATGAAAGAGAAAACAGACACCCTGAACAGGTAAGAAAATAAAAAAATAACAGTGAAACAAACACAATCAGCATGTACAATCATTCACCTAATCCTGTCTGTCTTAACCTTCTACATCTCATCTCCTAGTACATTATTTTTGCTCCAGAACAGGTAGTTATGAACAGCATGTTCATACTGCAAGTGTACTGTAGGAGCAAGTAACGTGCAAATGAGAATCTTTAGTATTTGAACCTAGGAAAGCATTACTGAGGCTGAACTTCAGGGCCTGTACCGAATGGTACTTCTGATAAAGGCAGCATGCATGCTTTTAGCTAGGTAAGTAGACATCATTAAATGATTTAAACTTTCATTTCATTAACACAGATAAGAGTGCTTTCATTGTAATTTTTTCATTCCACCTACCCAATGTTTTATGTACCACTTTTCTAATTTTTTAATTCTCAATTTGGATGCTGGGTGAACAAACGCTGAGGGTAGGTGGTTGAAAAAGATGTATTTCTCTACCAGCAACCGCACGTGGTCACTCTGTTTCACCAAGTTTCAAAAACTCTCCCAAAAAGAGGTCAAGTACCTTCCATAAATATTTCAGGTCCTTGCATTTGTGAAAACTGGGAATACAGGAGAGAGAGATGGTGAATTACAAATGAAGGGAGGAATAAAGAGGTTCACTTGATCTTGATGAGATGTAAAAAATTCACTCAATCCCAAAAATAGCCCTCATACACACTCTGTTTAGTTAAATCCAGGTAAAGCCACTAAGTACATATTTGCTAAATGTAGGATTTAAAATTATCCTATTTAATGTTTCTTTAAGTTTTTCTTCCTCTGGACTAAAACTGGGCCCTGTTTAGCCATTTGGACAGCAGTGAGCTAATATTCTGGAAGTTGCCCACAACTTCTGTTTTGAAAATCAGTTGAAATAGATATGGTGGCTGATGAAGTAGCCTATTCTTCATAGGACTGTGGTTGAAGGAAGAGGTTTAGCAGAGCCTTTTTTATTCCTAATAACTACTGTTAATAAGTTTCCGTAAGTTATGTGTATTAATCTCTCCCTTCCTGAACTTTTTGCCTACATCAGACAATATTAAGTATCATGTTACAGTAATAAAAACAAAATAACATCACTGTGCCTTTAGCTGGAGGCTAATAGTTTTTCAGGTGAAGTGGCAGATAGCCTTTAGGAGTCTAGATTCAGTGGATTTATATATACACTTAAGAGAATAAAATAATTCTGAATATATTCCAAATTGCGTGGTTCATGCTGCCTGTAGTTCATTTTCAGCAGCAAATGCAGTGCTACCTCATCAGTGGCAGCCCATCAAAAACCCATCTACAATACTCTGAATAACCAACGAGGAGTTTGAAGCAGAGAAAAGATGTGACAAGGTATATTTTAACTTTCTTTTACTATTTCTGTATCCCCAAAATTTTTGCTCCTATGTAAACAACCTGTACTTTCCCCAGGAAGGTGATTCCAGACCTTACCAACATGATCATTACACTGCAGAGAGGCTCGAGCTTCTGGAAAAACATGTAAGTTCTTATCTTGGGTTAGCAATTTTACATTGTCCAGAAATAGTGGAATGGGTTCCATAGGCTCCGAGCACCACAGTTCGTGAAGTGAAGGGTATCAGGAGGTTTGGTGGGGTTTGAAAGAGGAAAGGAATCCTCTCAGCTAGTCTGATCTTGTTGCTGAAATTGCCTTTGCCTCATAGTGTGTCCCAAAGCACGAGGCAGTGCTACTAGGTGGCACGTGGACAAAGCCTCTGCGTGGAAGCAGGTGTCCTCTGCTATGCACACGCTCTCCTTGGGGCAGAACTCTCCCTCTGAGAGGCCTGACTCCTTCCCTGAAACCCAAATACGGAGCTCATGCCCCACTGCACCTGGAGACACAGAAGCAAGCACATAGGCACAGTATGCCACTCTCACAAATACATTCACAAGGGAATGACAGAATTCAAATATTTCTTTCTCAGAAAGTATTAACCTTCCAAAAACAGTTGTGCTCTTCAGGACTAGTTATTCTTGAAATCTTACAAGCTTTCCATCATCTCTAGTATGCTGAAAAAGATATGCCTCTCTGTTATAGAATCATAGAATCATTTAGGTTGGAAGAGACCTACCTCCAAGATCATCAAGTCCAACCATCAGCCCAACACTACTAACTCCTCTAGTCCTGTTAGCACAAGAGATGTCAGCTTTTCTTGTGTTCAAGAGGATTTTTTTTAAAGCCAGAAAATGTGCAACACATGCACATGATTGTGCAAATCCTCCATCTGTGCTTCTTATATTCAGTATTTAATAGCAACTCCGGAATGTGTATAGATTAAAGTATATATTTAAGAAATACTTGCAAAAGTATTGAAAAAATACCTTGAAGACAGATTTTTTTTGTTTAATTTTGGGATAGGGTACCCTTAGTTTTTCATGGATTGCAGCAAGATTCTTCTGAAAGGATGTGAGTATTTTAAATGATTAAATGAACTTCAAGATTACATTTACTTTTGAGCCATTTCAGCCACCTCATCACTTAAAAAAAATAATCAGCATTATTATTCCAGTAAATACCTTCTGTGTGAGACATAAGCAAAAACAGGATGCTAAGTGGCAATGTGTTGGGAACTGATTCTATTTCTCATCTACATTTGCTCTTGCTAACTGTGCAAATGAGGCTGCATGGCTGCCAGTAATGAGCTGGCTCAGCACTGGGCCACTCAGAGTGCAGGCCAAAGAACTAAAGTCCACCTGGAATGTAATGTTAGCAATTTTCAGCATTTCCTATATGTGGGTCCCAAAAATTTTTCAGTGAAAAGTGTAGGTCCCTGAAAAACACTATTACCAACAGGCTCACTTTTCACAGTTACCCTGGCACAGTGCTGCTGTAAAGAAGTCCACAGCCACCCAGTGTACACAGATCACTCAGAGAAAACCCTGACTGTATTTGTCTAAAAATTGTATTTTCCTGATAATATTGAAGGATTATTAATGTAATGACTATAAATAACAATATGACTTTGTAATCTTGAAATTAAGAGGAGACTGGGATTAAATCATGCCCACTTGTAAGTACTTTATTACCTTCCTTTGGAAAAAATTCAACATCTGTGTTTGGAAATAAAAAATCATTTAGCCTTTGAGCTTTAAGGGCAGAAAGTTTCCTAGGCTGATAAAAAACATGTAAAGATTACTTGAGAGCACTACACATAAAAATGTGAATTAAAACAACAAAGGAAAATTCTATTATGAATGTTTTTCAAAAGACAATATAGGATAATAAGCCTCTATTTAAAATTAAAACATCCAATCAGTAAATTGCAGTGCACATAGTATTTCTGGGAAGATTTTGCTATGCTTTCACTTCTTCATGGACATTTCAATTTGAGACTTTTATGACAACTTTAAATTGTTGGTGAACCTGAATGCATAAAGTAGGCATTGAATGAACATCAAATCCAGGTAGACTGTAGCGTAAATTTGTGTGTAAAAAAAAAAAAATCAGAGTATTTGTTCCACATAAACAGGATATTAAATTCCTAATAGTTGGAGAATCTGTGCAAAGGACACTCCATTATATACTGCACAGAGATTAGTCACACTAAAAGGAGCAATGTTAGTGACATTGTGGTCACGTACTCACAATTTAAAGGAATAACTTTTAAAAGAACTGCTAACGGCTATGCAACCTTTCTTAATTTTTCACCATGTGTATTTTGGTGATATGTTACTCTTCTTCACTTTCCACACAAAATTAAATGTACTCGTCTGAGCAACTCTTCTAAATTTTTGCAATCAATGAAGAAACCTTTTCTGAAGACAGCATTTCCTAATAGGTTGCCTTGGACAGTTTGAGTTCAGATCTGGAGCCTTTCATAAACATTAGCAAGTTAATTTTGACATTATTATCTATTATCATATAATCTAATTATCTATCTAGCAAAAATATATTATGATGAAGCTAGCTGATAGTCTGATTAAATTAGACTGTGTCATGTAAAAGAGACTGTAATTATTTGAAACAGGTATTATAAGTCCAAGAAATTAGAAGTTAATTAGAAGAAGCTGACAAGAAAGTCAAAGTATAAGAATAGGCTAGAATCAATGTGTTGCATTACATTTTTGGTCCCTATCTTTCAATGAACATGTAATTAACTATTTTTGTCACTACATTATTAGGTTGACCACTGAAAGCAGGTAGCAGGTCAGTGTATGAAAAGCACATGGTGCTCTCCCTGCTATTAAGGACATTTCCATCAAACCAGTAAAGAAACTGGAAAAATTGACACAAATCAAGAGACTTAGCATATATATTTTTAAGGGTGCTTTTTTAAACAAAGAACCTGTATTTAGGTTTTTACTGACTTCACCTCTTAACTGCAATGATTAATTAGAGAATAATTATAAAAAATTAATTTACAATCTGAGAGATGACATCATGTAGACTTTTACTAATAAATTAACCCAGCAATAGTGACCATGTCATTTTAGTGTTTCCAGAATAAATTATGTTAAGATGGCAAACTCACCTTCTGTGTTGGAAATGGGAGTACTGTCGCATTTACTTTCACACTGCTGCATTGATGGAGGTCTAAGTGTTTCTGGACAGTCACTGGATGCTTGTCCAGTGTATGAGAGGCACTGTACTGTTCTCATCTGTTGCCCAAGACCACACTGGGCAGAACACTGAAAATAAGGACGACAAAAAAGTAAAACAACTTGGTTCCAATTTTTAAATATAAAACAAGATAACAAGAAAGCAATCAGGAAGGGTACACACATGTATTTTAGGCAGCTGAAAAGATCTGGTTAATACAGAAAAAAATTTTCGTAAAATAGTTCAGAAATTTTTGGTTTTGACAGTATATACAAGCACTTGTCTTTCAAAGAAAACAGATCAACTCAGTGTTGGCTCCCTGAACAGTTCAGAGGTACAAGAATAAAATTTACCTTATTTCATATATCATGTCTGAGTTTAAGTACATGTTTTCAAGAGAGATATAATAATTTTAAAATAAAGAAGAAAAACTAAGGAGAATAAAAATTCAAATCTGCGGGAGAACTTTTTTAAGGAAGAGAGAAACTATATTTCAAACAAAAATACTTCACTGTTTCAAAACATTTTTTAATTTCTGTAAATAAATAGTGGTTTTACTACAGTATCAATTTAAGATAAATGCACATCTAAACAACTACCATAAAAGAAAAGCCAATCAGACTGTAACACCACATGACTGTCCTGTGGTTATTAAGCTGAAATGTTTTATTTTCATTAGCAGCAAATTACTCATCATATTTAGAAAATGAAACATCCATTTTTTATTTTAAAAACAGGCCATCAGGCATAACTGAGATGCAAAAACAAAGAAAGAAGGAAGGAAACTCAGTATGTAATTTTTAGAAACACTCCACAATGGCAGCACCATTCAGCCTGTCTTGTAACAATGTAGCTCCCTGTCTGATAATTCAGCATGTTTTATGTAAAATGATACAGACCTCAAAGTTTTTTTGCCAGGTGAATATATATACACACATATATAAAAATATATATCTACCTTACTAAAATAGGAATTTGCTTTGTATTTCCATCATGTTTCTCAAGGAAGTTAAATGTGTTTTTAAAATACAAAACCTTGCAACATTGCTGTATCTTAAATTCTGAACAGTAATAAGGACTGTTTAATTTTAAAAAAAAGCATACAGAAACTCACCCAGTAGAAACTAGAATGCTGCCAGCAAATCCTTTATAGTTCAGCAGACAATTATCATTCAGAATCACATCTCAATCCGAGACAGACAGGAGAGAAGCTTTTGTTTCAGTTGTGGGAAAGATCTCTTACCCGTTTCCAGCAACATCTTATCCTTAGAAGGTGCTAATGTGTAGGAGATTAATAGCAATAAATACTTATATGAATTATCATACCTGTCCCCAGTCCCCCGTAACCCAGCGAGGAGGAGGACATCGGCCTAAACTGCAGCGGATGCGGACTGGTGGCTTGCTCTCCTCTTGGCACTGTGTGGCTGGAAAAGTTTTTAAAAGATCGCTGCTTTTGCACAGAACAATTCGGTGTTTGAACCCTGGGCCACACTTCGGTGTGCACTGAAAAAATATTGATATAAATAAGTAATAAAAACCTCAGTAAAAAGTCAATAAAAGTGTCAGAAATGTTATCACGGAAAACACAAGAATATATTTATAGTCTTATAATTAACTATAATCACAAGTTTCCCAAATGATAATGGTCATTTTAAAATGTTTAGAAACACAAAGAAGCTGGCTGATGATTGCTTTATGAAGTTCAAGTTTTTATAAGCTTTAATTTGGTAAAAGTAGATTTCCTTTGCTATTTATATTTAGGCTGCTATTTATATTTAGGCTATGGTGTTACTATTTACTTTATATGAGAGCCTGTAGGTTAAATTAAAGTACATTCCTCCAAAGTAGAGAGGTTTGCCACACGTAGCACTATTAAGAAACAAACCTGAGTGTGCATTTCAGAAATTAAAAGTAGAACGCTCTGTTCTTATGACCTTAGTACAGTCTTTCCCCACCTCACTTAACAGATGGTTGAGCTACAGAGAACACATTTTTCCTCAATAAGTAGATGGGAAGATAAATGCTTTACAGGACTCCACAGATACCACACTAGTAAGACAGAAATACTGTACCCTCTCCTAAAATGTATGCTTTTCTCTTCCTTACAGAATGACAGGTTTATCCTAAATCTTTTCTCCACTTAGATCCAGGATCTTAAACTTGGCTGCAAAGAGATGGGTCCTTCCTTCATTTAGAGTTTATAATCCAGAACTGCAAAATGGGTATATAATAACTGCCCTTGAAATTTAACCTTTCTTTTCCTACCCTATTCTATTCTTTCCCATCAAGACCCTGACTCCTTATATGAGCAGTAGTTCAGTCTTCAGAATTCGGATACAGAATAGCCAGGTTCAAACATCCTCAAACTGAAAGGGCTTTAACCCCAAATCTTGCATACTCTGATTACCTGCCTATCAGAAAAGTAGGGGAAGGAGAGAAGTAGGAGAAGAAACATATCTGTCTCTCTGGATGAACTGCAAAAAGAGTATTAATGCTCGAGATCAAAAAGTGATGATAATAAGTATGTGAGGTCTTCAGGATCATGAAGATGACTCCTCAAATTCCATGGAATGTTGCATGAATTTTCTCTCGCAAGTATTTAATGTAAAATGGATGACTTTAAAGCAGGAACTAGAAGCAAGTTCCCCTTCCTAGGTGAGTGCTTAAAAATCACTTGCACTCAGTCTTTTCCCAGTAACTGAACATTCTGTCAAAAACAGAACAAGGTTGGAAGGACCTTGCAAAAATCATCGACTCAATGTGTCAATACTGCTTCATAATCTCCAGAATTTGTTAGCAAATAACCAAGACTTTAAGGATGAACATTTGAGTTCAGGTGCATCTAATTTCTATTCCTGCTTGAAGATGTGTTCTTTTATCTAGGTCCAAGCTGGCATCTGAGGAAAATATTCTTTCACCTACTGGTACCAGAAGAAAACAATGTCCCTTAAAAACCCACTTTTTCTGAGTCATAGCCAAAGTTCCACTAAATAAGATGGACTACATCCAGCCCCAAGAAATGACAGTCAAATAAGGAAACAGGTAGTTTACAATAATACTGAATCACCAAAATGAAAAAGCATCAGTAGAATTCAACAAAAATGTTTCCAAAGCAAATGCAGGACAAAATACTTAGGTAAACAAAAACAGGAAAAGGTGTTTTCCATTACTAAGTGCTTCTAGAAGTTTTGACTAAGCTCAGTGGAAGTCATGACTAACAGTAATATGAATGCAAAGTAAAGGTCCTTGTTTGCTAAGGCTCTTCTCAAGAAATCCTTGGATTATTTTTTGCCAGCTTATTTTACTACTTGGAAAAACATAAAAGTAGTAATTTACAGCAGGCAGAATAATTCAGTAAAAGCTCAACTGTTGCCAAGTGTGAAAAATTTTATGACAAAACTGACATTACCCAAGAATGACTACATACCACTGGGCAAGACAGTGTTAGCTTTAATTTGATAAAAAGCACTTTTACATTCTCCTAAGGACTTTATTTAACCTCTGTGTTTAGAAAATGTTTGTTTCTCTGACCAAAATCATACAGATTTCTTGTTAATTATCACATGTAACGAGACTGATACTCAATAAATGTATTAGCCTATAAAAGAGTTCTGTAATTGTTTAATTTCTATTACATACTGCTTGTTCTGAATATGAAAAGAGAACTTTAGAACTTGCACTCCTGAGAAAAGTAGCAAGGTTTGCCATCGGTTTTAATGGAAGCAGTATTCATCTCTTCACTTCTTGAGTTCACTCTTGTTTTCATTTTCATGCCTCTGTCAGAAAATCATACAAATACATATACAGAAGGGTTTATATATGTATAGTGCTGTAGGGATTTTAATACACTGTATTTCTGGGAACCCTTGACAGAAAAAAAAAAAACAACAACCCGTTTTCCTCATTTTATTAAAATGGTATCAGCAGTCAAGACAGTTTGCCAAACTACCCTAGGCAAAATTCTTATCAGGAAGAAGGTGGCACTTTCTCACCATCCTGATTAAATACCATCACAACCAGAAGCTCAACAGAACTTGAATCTTTAGATTAGAATGGTTTTGTTCAAAATTGTAGCATGCTCCTGCTGTATAAAAGGTTGGACATGAAGGCCTTAAAATGTAGTTTAAGATTCTTATGAGTGTGCCAATATTGGTAGCTCCAAGGATGATTTATTAGTGAACAATGTCTTGAAGAGGGAGCTAGAGCATAATAGTATATAGACAAAATACAGCCACAGCTCTGTATCTTGTCACATGGACACCATTATTTGTTAGTAGTGAGATGATGCTTAGACACTCCAATTGGAAATAAAGTACTGTGGTAACAGATCCAAAGAGCTAACACACTATCAGTGCCACAGATGTGCAATGATACAGTCACAAACTGAACATCCACTGCCACTCATCCGTTCTTTCCTTCTCACTCCTTTCCTTCCTGCTGCAAGCCAGATTCATCTTCAAAGGGCTGGGATACATTGTACCTTTTCAGGTAGGGACAAAGACCATTTAACACTTTAACACATTTTAAATACTTTTTTTTTTGAGCTAAAAGTATCTATGCATTGAAATTATCTGTGAAACTACCTGCACATCAACCATCTTTATGGGATCCAGTAATTTACTTTGATCCAGTGATTTGACTTTGAATGAAAGAATGTTTAAAGCCAAGCAAGTATACAGAAAATGGGACATAATGCATCAAGATTAATTAACTTCTGGCGAATAATTGATGGAAAGGAAGAAGGGCTGTTTCAGATAACAAAAGAGATACAAACTGGCATGGAACCAAGAATGTTAGAAAATTTGCAATTCAAAGACTGAAGTTCAGTAACACTTTTACAAGAAGCAGTGGGACAACCCCCCAAATTAACTAATTTTAAAACACAGTTCAATTAATTTATGAAAGTAATTATATGATTACATGGGGAACAGTGATGAGTGGTGCTCCTCAGTGACTGGTACTGGAACCAGTCCTGTTTAACATCTTTGTCGGGGCCATGGACAGTGGCACTGAGTGCACCCTCAGCACGTTTGTGTGGTGCAGCTGGCACGCTGGAGGGAAGGGAGGCCATCCAGAGGGACCTGCACAGGCTGGAGGGGTGGGCACATGCCAGCCTGGTGAAGTTCAACAAGGCCAAGGGCAAGGTCCTGCACCTGGGTTGGGGCAATCCAGGGACGCTGTGGATGCTCCATCACCAGAGGTGTTCAAGACCAGGCTGCAATGGGCTTTGAGCAACCACCCTGTCTGTGTTAGGGGGGTTGTAACTAGATGATGTTTAAGGTCCCTTCCAACACAAATCCTTCTATGAGTCCATGATACGCCTGCATTTGACAGCAAGGACACAGACATGGAATCTCAGGAAATTTTAACTTGAAAGTACTCCAAAGGGTACTTGGAGATGACAACTGCAGTACTATCCCAGAGTCCAGGATAGAAAAACTATACTGCTATTTTTGCAGTCTGGTTTGCATAGGATGTAACCAAACGCCTTTCCTTCCAGCTGCAGTATTCTTCAAATTCAATACTTAAATCAGTACAAGGTATAGCAACTTATTGCCAACTAATGCTACATATCACCATACTTAACAAAAGACGTTCTTTCTTTAATAAAGAGAATAACCCAATTTTCAGGCCTGCCTCTTGGTGCATGCTGCTAAGAAAGGTGATGCTTTACATCAGCACTTTCACTTGAGAAAAATGAAGCTATTTATTCTGTCTTTTGATGTTGTAAATCCATTTTCTCTACTATCCAACTATTTGCCTGTTCAAAAAACAATATAAAAGGAATTTTTTGTTTTAAATACAGCTGTCATACCAATGGCTACTCTAGGTGGGCTTTTTTGTTTCATTGAGGTTTTCTTACTACTTTACTATTCTATTTTGCATTTTACTGTTTTTCTACTATGACTAATAAAAACTGGTCATAGTTGTTTGATGAAACAACAGAACTGACAATACAGAAGGGAAGAAAAAATTACTTCAGTACTAAATCTGTGAAGTTTTGGATTTCTCATTAATCCTTTACTTAGTAACCAGTGATTGGAAATGTACTATCACTCAGTGGCCAGAACTCTCGCCTCCACTACCACCAATGAGCTAACACAGCAAAATTTCCTTACTTCTGACCAGTCCAAAGCAACCCACTGTGGGGGACAGGACTGATTGTTACAGGGCTCTTTTTCAACAGGGCGGTGTGTTAAACAGTTGGTATGGTCCAGTGTCTCCTCCTCAGAAGGTCCAATCTTTCTGATACACAGAACTGTTCGTGAACGCATTCCTCCATCGCAGGTCTTACTGCATTCTGACCAATCTCCTATAAACCATCTGGACAAAAGAAGTTAGGAGACTCAGTTAATGCATTTCAGATAAAAACAGGTAATTACACAAATCCAGAACACAAACAGTTTAAATTATTATACCTAAATCACTGTTAACAATACACATATTCAGAGTGAAATAAAGTAGAAACTTGTTCATCTTTTTACTGAACATCTTAATTTATGCCTTATCTATCAATAATAATACTACTGTGTATTTTTCTAGAGCAGTAATTTCCATCCCAGGCTATAGTAGTTATAAAGGAATGGTGAGCCTGATAAAACTGCAGCTGTTTAAGTAGATTTGTACATGACTTGCCTGAAATGACTGACCTCATGTAAAACATTTAAAACACTGCATGATAGCTGTTAGAGGGAGATACTGGGTGTTTGCATGTACATAGTGAAAGTCTGGAGCTGTACAGTACATTATAGATTACTTTTTGTTGCAGAGATTAAAGTGGCTGTTTATCTGGCTGTATTTCTTTTTCTACTGATAAGAGGCTAATGCATCTTCATTCACTGGAAATACCTCTTCACATTATTGATCACGTTTGGTCTTCAATGTCTTGCATGTTGATTAGATAGATTGACCCAAACCATCCTTGCAAAGGATGAAGGTGAAGTCTAGTATGCTATCACTGCCAACACGCCAAAAATGCTAAGCATATCAGTCACTATGGATGCTCTTATAGAGGGTACACTTGGAGCCGCCTCTTAAGATTCGTTATCTTCTGAAACTTCTGTCAAAAAAGCTGTGTTGCTATCCCACCCTGTGTTATAGAATGCCTTATACATTCTAATATGAACCTAGATCAATCCAGACAAGCAAACAAATATGCCGTATTCTGTCATGAGTTACCAAGCAAAAGAGAATTTGTGATTCTTCACCATCAAACTTGTGCTTTTACCACAGTAGGGAGAATCTGAAGCTGGTTCAGAGTTTTGGAGAGACTAAAGTATTAATTTTTTATTGCTACTATGATTTGCTTAAACACCCTCTCAAGTACCTTTTATAGTTACACTGCATGACAAGACAGTACCATTCACAGAACTATGACATTTACCTGAATCGTTTATTGAAATCTGGAACTTTGAGAGTTATTTATTGTAATAACAAAGAAAATATTGTTAACATAGTCTATAAACATAGTCTTTGCTGCTGCTTATGGACAGCAAGTATACTGTAACTGGAATTCAGTTAGAAAGAGAAATGTTTTAATAACTTTTGGTATATATCACAAAGAAAGCAAAAACGCGATCATTAAAAAACTAAATATTTGGCCACTTTATGTAAAAAGTAAGTCTTACTGGGTGATAAACTTCTAGTCAAAAGGGTTAAGCTTTGGGTAACTGTTATCTGAACAGCCTTCTTCTAGACTAACAGGATCAGGAATCAAGAAGCCTTCCTTCGTAGTTTTGCACTTTGTATTTACCCTGTGGGCAACATCCGACTGGAGGCAGATGTGGTCTGAACTGCTCTGATACCTTCACGCAGATGCTGACTAACCTACACTACCCGCTTCGCGAACCTTGAAGATTTGAGTTTCACCATGTTCACCAATGTCCATGCCCTACTGGATGGGGAACACGAAGTGTCCTGCTTTGTGGGTTGGGTTTTTATCTTGGTTTTGTTTTCTTAAAATAATGTTAGTGCAAAACATAAAAATTAACTAGTTTTGAATAACTATGTTAGCACTACTTTTTAAAGTGCTAGTTTGTTAATAGTTAGGCCACATAAAGGAAAGGATAGGGATGTGTTTGGTAAAAAGGAACTGACCAAACGTGATCACTGTCCCAAGTTCTGCTCTCAGGTATGTGGTGTGAGAGTGTCAATGGTGTCGTTACAGCCACACTAAACTGTTATCCCAACAGAATCCAAGTGCATATCCTTGCAGGGTAAACATGTACTTACAAACAGACTGTGGGGACAGTGATTTAGACCTACTTCAGACCTGTTTGTGAGACAGCACATTCACACCAAATACACTCAAGGCAGGGTAATGACTTCACTTCTGTTTATGTCACATAGTACATGACGCAGGGGGATTAAGTGTACAAGACACTGCTCTGCCATCCCACAACCAGTCACCACACCAGGGCAGTTGTTAATATTCTAGAATAAAATGGCTTCATGAAGACCTGCTGGGATTTTAATGCATTATAGTCTTGTCTCATTCCTCCCAGTGTCCTTCATGCTACAATTTTACAATTTCGAAGAGACATTTAAAAGAGACCATGGTATTTATTTATTGTGCAGTATCTACATTTAATCAGAATTAATGATTTTTTTACCCAATTAGAACACAGCTACAGACTACCACAGAACCACAGAATGGTGGGGGTTGAAAGGGACCTCTGAAGATCATCTAGTCCAATCCCACTGTTAAGCAGGCTCACCTAGAGCAGGCTGCCCAAGAACGCATCCAGGTGGGGTCTGAATATCTCCAGAGAAGGAGACTCCACAACTTCTCTGGGCAGCCTGTTCCAGCGCTCAATCACTCTCAATCAAATTTAAACCAGAGCTTGTGAGTCAATAAAATGTTGAATCTTTTCCATTTTTTCCCACAACTTTTATTTGTCTCAGAACATAAGAAGGAGCTGTTGTGCGTATGCTGAGATCATTTTCTAATGCAAAATATCACAACTGTTTCTTAACAGCTTTTGTAGTAAAATTAAGCTATGCTATAGGTTCTTGCCAAATTTCATTTTTTGAACAAATGAGTTGCTGTGTTTTTAATTATGTTTTCAATATGTAGCATACAGCTATTCTTAAAAACAAAACTAAATAGATGTAACAAAGTAGGCACCTAATCCTAAAGGCACACAGCATTACTGTACAACACTGAGTATCCTGGATAGAAAGTTGTTTCACAATACTACTATCAGAAAATGGTTTGGCCTACTAAGCAGTTTCTGGGTTTCCTATTTCTCATGTGCATATTTCAATCCAAATTTTAGCACAGTATGCTTCAGGAGTATGACAAACATTTAGTATGCAACATAAATATCTATGGAAAAGTTAGTCTCATCTCAAGATTCTTCTGTCATTGTTTCTTTAAGAGTGGTCCATAGTTCTACTCCAAGCACTATTCACCATATTTGGCACTTACACTCTAAGAAACTGCTTTGCTAGTATCTTTTTTTCTCAACAATGTCTCGTTTGCTTTGTGTAGTTTAAACACCACTGTGCCTCAGTTAAAATTAGGTCTTTTCTAGGCCAAAGTATGCACTTTCCAGAACTCATGTCAAGGAACTGATATCAAGGAACAAGAAATCGTAAACAAAACCAAACCCCAAATACCATCTCTGTTAAGACAGGACCTTAATAGTACATCAGAATTTTATACCCATTTGGTCAAGAGGATTTGCTACAGATTACAAAGTCTCTTCTATCTATGAAAAACACACGTCCATCTCAGTGATCAATGACTTACTCAGGTGGGCAAGGCTCAGTGTTGCAGGCTCGCTGGTTTTCTGGAGGCTTACTGTCAGGGTCACAGTAATTGTTTTGTACGATGGAGTTGTCATCCAGCCTTTTACACACCACCTCTTGTTTCTGCACACCTTGGGATGAAATGAAAAAATGCTAATTAACCATTCTTCTGCTTACTACTTGATGAGTAGAAGCATATTTCACCTACTGATTATCAATCCTACCACAACACTTTAACTGGCTGAATACTGCAGGAGTGTGAGTTCTAATTGGCTGAATGCCCCGACCACAACAAATACTTCACTTTCCTTCAATTTTAGGCCACCCTATTGAGTGAGAATTTTAAATTGCTGTTGTTTTCAAAAACAAAGGGAATATATTTACAGATTTACCAAGAGATTGCTTTTACTTGTATATTGCACAAAATCCATTTTCTGTCTACCCTCCTCTCCTAGTAAAAAACACTTAAATTTTCAAAGAAAACATCACCAAACAGAATGTGGTCACACTCCAATGCAGAATTATCGTTTACATGCTCTGGTTTAAAATAAACCAGCAATACTGGGAAACATTGTAAAGCATCTCTTCCACTGTTAACCATCAACATGGCAATTTACATTTGAGTATTATTCCCAAAACATAATGACATATCAGTGCTAAGACAACATCATAAGGTAGTGTATTAAACAGATTTCCTGATTTTTAAAAAGCAGGATCTAAAGAAAGGCATTAAAGAACCATTGATATGACAATAGTACAGCTGAGTACTGTTGTAACAATAAGTACACATGGCCTCCTCCTCTCTTCTTAGAACAAGCTGTATAGTGTTTGCCAGCATAAAGACTGTGGATCACCAAAAGTCACCAAAAGCCCTGAACCTTTCTTGAAAGCAGAAGAATTATTTAACTTTTTGCAAAATGTGAAATGCGTACAATTAAACAGGGATTAAAACATCCTGGCTTCAAGTATCTGCCAACTTTACTTTACAGCCTTCTCTTAATTTTAAGACAAGCTTTTTATAGAAGGTAGACATGCAGTAATAAAATTAATTATATAAATATGTTTTTCAGACACCAAGCATCCCACTAAAAACATGGGATTTCTTTCACCAAATATGTGCACTCCTTTTGTTGATTTTAAACAAGCTGAACAACTTACCTTGTAATTGTTTCTTTCATTACACACCATGGACAAGAATAAAATATACTACTTTGGTTCCTAAAATATCACCTATTCAGAATTCAGGTATTTAATTCCAACAGTAAGTCAAGTCTAGCCTTGAGATGCCTGACATTTGGGGCACAAAGCATCCTGCTTGGCTATCAACCAAAGTCTCCCAGTCTACAAACATGTGAAGTATCTTCATGAAGTTATGTGCAAATGACATGGAAAAAACAGTAACCACCTTTTTAATGATTCTTGAAGATGGTATTTAGTCCCTCATGAGACTGCAGATGCAGGAGTAGGCATGATCCCTTCTCACCCTGAGGGGATTCCTAATTCCCAAGCGCATACTGTAACTTCTATGACTTAGTGGTTAATTTAGCCAAGATGGCAAGACTGTGATTTCTAGTCTGTAAGATATTACTGCTTTTTATTCAACTACAATCTGGTATGTCTAAATGATCTTGAAAACAAGGATGAAAATGCATTTCTGTGCTAGATGAATGTCTTATTTCTGGTTACACTTTAAATCCCTTTCTTGTTTTCCTAGCATGGGCTCCATGAGTATTGCGTCCCTGTCTCCACTGTGGCCAAAAATACTTATTAAAAAAATCTTCCCTTTACTTACCTTCCTAACTCCTCAACTTTCTATGGCACACAGTTAAGAGTACTTTTCTGGAAATGTACTCCCAACCTCTTCACTCAGCAATAGGGAATTGCTATTTAATAGATAACTGGCATGGCAGGATGGTATCCTGCAACATATGGGTATTTTCCCTCAAACAAAAATAGAGCCCTGTTAATTCAAAACCCAGAAGTCTGGATCCAAAGCACATAAAAACATTCCATGTGTTCTCAACACTAACCTTCATATTCCTGACAAGCAGGAGAAGAGCTGATTCATCACTCAACAAACTTTCTTACAGGATTCCTATTTAGCATGTGAGAACGCTGTACCAACCCTCAAAATCACCTGCTTCCTCACATCAAAAGTCATTAACCATATTGAGACCAAAGATATCTAATGCTGAAGTCTTCACTCCACTGCACTACCTAAATCCAAGGTCCACATCTTTGCTGCGGGGATAGCCCCTTTTTGATTACAGCTACACATAACCTTCACAAAGTAGGTCACAAACTTTAAATCAGGTTGTAAGTCATTTCACACATCCGACATCTCAGGTTATTCATAAACATTACGATAATTTTGAAGTAAGCTTCACTAATGAAAAAGATACTGATAAATATGAGACATAAGTCTTACAGGTGAGCCAGGTAAACTAAGCGGTTTTTTCTATTTGTTTTTTTTTTCCTATCTGGATGCCACATTAGACAACAGTAAATGCAAGTAAACAGCACAGAAGACCAACAGATTGTTTTACAAGTGTATCCTATATACATGAATGTACATGAACAAGCTGAAAAAAAAAACCTCACCCTTTTGAAGAGCATTCGATCCCCTCCCAGTTTTGTGTGTTCCCCCTGACCCTAACCCCTAATTTCCAAGTTATCTGCTTTATATGTTGGGAAAAAAAAATCATTTTCCTAGATGGTTTGGTCCAGTTGGAACTAAGAAACAAATCATTAGCATCAAGGACCCTCAATGGACCTGAAGTACACGCACCCACAGCTGTTGGCCAATTGTATTAACATACAGATATTCTCCTTCACATATTCATTCATCAGGTAGCGAAGACCTGAATAATTTTACACAAAAATGCTCATTTATAGCATTCTCAGCACCTAATATTTCAACTACATGAAATTATATAAATCTGAAATTCAGTGAGACCTTGCACTATAAAGGCAATCAAGAAACCTTGGAACACAGGAACTTGGAAGAAAGAACTAGAAGCAATACCCTTCTGTTGCTGGGAACCACTCTATGTAACCTCTTCCACAAACTGAACAAGCCACACTTCAAGCCCAAATACATTCTTCTTCTCTGAACTTCAAACCTGTGACTACTACGAACATTCAAATTTCCATTCCAGATGCATCATCTACCAATTTATTTTTTTTTAAGCCAAAACAGTCTTTCAGTTTAAATAACTTCACTGTGTTAATCAAGTAAACTCTCAAAGTCTCTGTGTTGCCAGATACACCATTCCTTTGGTCAGCCTCCCAAAAATTCTGTGCATGTGCTTACATCTGAGTTTATTACAGCGACAATACAAACTCTGCCCAGTACTCCAGAGGGATTTTACAAGGGCCTTATCCTTAATACTTTTAAATTACTTAGAGCTGCACTGTCAGCAAATTTCATCAGTGCTTTCTACATTTTATGCTGCCATCAGAACAAGAAAAAAATGAAGTCTCATGAGTCATGTCAAAGGTCTTTAAGAAGTCCATTAGGCTCATTGCATTTTGGCCCAGTAACTTGCATTGTAAGCATGCCTTTTGTCTACTAATCTTTTATAATTCTTTTTTTAGTCATGGGTCACAATAAATGCCATAAGAAATTCCAGATCAGCGAATCTACTGCATTTCCTTGGTCTAGAATGTTAGTTATATATTAAAATATATTTGGCTAGCAAAGCACTACCTATCATGTTACATTTTGCCTCACCTGTCACTTATTTCTAGATCTTATTACTTTTCTTGAGAATTTCAAATCAGTTAGCAGTCCAGTATTGTTGTTATATATTTATATACAGACATACACACACACGGAGATGATTTTCTTCAGTTGTCTACTCCCTTAGTACTACTTTAGCAGAGAAAAGATGTATCAATTGCAGCATGAAAGAGAAAGAAAAATTATTAGGCTCTCCTTTATAATCTCTTCCTTTGGTTCTTGAAAAAAAAGTGGAGATCTAAATATTTGAGAACCTGTGGCAAAATGATTCACTTTAAATTCTATAATCTATGCAAATACTGCCAACAGACTAGAATAATTAAAATCAGATCTGACACCTTGAGGAGGAATATTTCTTCTGCAATTTTCACTCAAATTTCACCATGATGAGATAGTATTTACAAGGTCTAGCCAAAGAGCAATGCTAGTAACTTGGTGCTGCTAGCTGATTGAGAATTTGTTCAACTCCAGCTGATGAATATTCACTTATCCTTTCTAACACAAGCTGCCTTAATTCTCTCGGTGGCTGATAGAACAGGCTGAATGCTGCCTTCATAATGATATTTCTCTCAAATATATGATTGCTTAAAATAAAAATTTATTGCTACTTTAGAATTAAGCATTGTAGAGATGAGTACTATTCTCACAAATATTATGAGACAGCATAGGTATTAATGCTATGTTTTACTGAATTTCCTACTGGCATCAGACACACTTCCTTCTAGGCTCTGGCTAAGAATTGGCAGCCTCAGTAAATTCGTTTCTGAGAAGCTATGTAATAAGAAATTATTCTAGACTATGAACACAAAGTATCATTGTGCTGTTTTAAAAAAAATATGTCAGGCATTATTTATTGAACATGGGTCAGGTAGAATAACATCTGTAAAACAGTACTCACCACTATTCACTCACACAGTGAAGAATCTTTAATCCATGCCAGGCAATATATTAATCCAGTTTTAAAATGTTCTGTAGTATCTTGCCACACAGTATGTAAACTTTACATCATTGCTTTCTAATTACAGTGGAATTTAAAATACAATCTCAGAAACAAAGTTTGCCTTCTAATTTTAAGTCAAGAAAAAGAAACTGAGAAAGCTAGAATTGCAGTTTTTATCCAGGCAAGAGCTACAACTCGATTAAGCCCTGTGGGCTTTGAAAAAAAAACTTTAAATTATCTTTTCCCTGAGTATATGGTCTTTCTTAAAATAATCTAAAGAGCACAGCTAAACAAGTTCATTTAAACTCTTGGGGAAATAATTACAAGCAGTTAAGACAGGAATACTCTGCTTTCAAATCTAAAGATTTGTAGTTTATAATAAAAGACATAAAATGTCCTTGGGACTGGTCAATGCAATTCTCATAGAAAACAAAACTCCAGTGGTTTAG